ATGACAATGGAAATGGGACTGACCAAGGACCGAGCAGGAGCTGGAGCAGGAGCTGAAACTGCTGCACGTCTTTTGGTAAAGGGGGTGTGGCCAGTGAACAACAACAGACACATTTTATTGCAAATCATTTGAAATGCTGCAAGTGATAACAATAAAGGGAACAACAACACAGGATGGCAACGAATTACCAAGGCAATGTCAAAAACAAGCTGCAAGCAGACATGACATTATGTTAACTGAGTGGCAGCTAAGTGTTGCACGGAGTGTTGCAAGGGAGCATTGTCTATGTCTGAGTGTTGTCTGTTGACTATTAGAAGGTAGAATAAAGACAAAATATGATGACGAATAGAAATAAATGAACCAGCAAAGAACATTAGTTGGTTTTAAGAAGCTTGTAAGTGAATCTGTTAATAAAACCAGACACCTGTGGTGTTTTTCTGCTTTTTTGAAATATTTTCTATTATTAAAAAGTAGAAATTACATTATTTGAATTTGAATTTCTGAGTGAAATTAACTTTTGTCATGTTTAAGTGTCACAGTTACATTCTAGGTGGATCATTAGGATCTATCAAAACTGAATAATAAGTTGAGTTACCCTAAGCCTCATTGGTAAGTGAAATTTCTCAAATTCGTTTCTGAGTGAAGAGTTTGGACATACTTACCCGATAATTCGATTTAATTTTTGTCAAGTTTAACTGGCTCTCTCGTGTGTCACAGTTGAATCCTAGTTGCCACTTGTGCAAGTTTGGGTGTCTCAGTTTTATTGCACAGCTTAACTTATCATTAGGACGAATCAAAACTTTACCTGTGAGCCAGTTTTATGCCGCTTTATCTGTGCGAAATCAAACATATAACTTTTAAGCCGCACACAATTGAGCTTAATATGCAAAGGTGTGAGGCACACACACACACATATTTACACACACAAAAAACCGCAAAGTTGGCAACACATATTTTTACTTAGACTCACAGCTTAAGTTGTGTGGAAATTACGCAAGAGAACAAAAAATATGAAGGAATGTTTATAGAGCCACAGCCGAAATGCTTGTCTAATAGCAGCTTAAGCTAAACTTAAGCTCTATTTGAGACAAGGATTTTCCCTTACGAATCTATCCACAAGCCCTCACACACACACAGAGTGTGTGTTGTTGTTGTAATTAAATGGCAAATCTGATTTATGTGACATTTGATAGCCGCAGCAAATAGCAAACGATGCTTGACCAACGCCTTAGTAAGTTTTTGGCTTATTGCCGGATTTTCCGTGTCATTGGAGCAGGCAGCTTGTGGACAGGTGCGCAGGGGAAAAATGTGGCGGGGGGGAGGCAGTCAGGTGTTTGTTCTGTGTGCTCATTTGTGGCAATTTGTTGTGCGCAGATTTTGTTGGCTAATAAATGTGCTGGCATCCAGGCAGTTTGCTGCTGCTTATAATTTGTTTGGATTTCGGCATCTATTTATCAAATGCGCTTACTTCTGGCAGCTTATTAGTGGCCCGTCCACAGCCAAGCTGAGTCTTAAGGATAAGACAGCAGTTACACAACTGGTATGAGCTCTGCTTAACAACCCACAGAGGTGAAGCAAACCATTCCACACACTCAGCAAGTAAATTGAGCTGAATTTTAGAAAATCACCCTTAAAACTAGAGAGTTTTCTTGTTTTACAAGAAAGTTGATTTTTTAAATTATGAAATTAGTAATGATAGTAATGTCTGATTGTAATGTCTGCCGAGTAGCTGATTGGGAACTCTCAGGTTCAAATCGAATTATTTCATCTGAATTTATAGACTAGAGATAAATATAAGCAACAAAAAAGCTATGATAGTAGACTTCCTATAAAAATAATATGTAGATTAATGAAAAAACATGATAATTTTAGACAATTAACTTAACTTTGGTTTTTATAAAAACACAATCCATTTTAGAAATAAAATTTTGAATAACCCTTTGTCTTACCCTTTGCAAAATTCAGCTCGATTTCTTTTCTGAGGGTACCATTACTGAAATATAAAGTTAACAAGTTTTAATTTACGCTCAAGTATTAAAATTGAAACACTTTAAACTTGCTACAAATGTTGTGATTTACAACTGTAATTTAGTAGTGGCTGGTTCAGTTTGCATCAGAAGGCAACAGCTTTGCCAAGTATGCCATAATTTTTGTATTCATCTCTCGACACTCCTCTCTCCTCACATATCTCTCATCTCTCCTCTATCTCCCTCGCTCACCTTTGTATGCAATGTCCTGTTGTTTGCATTGCTTGGGGGCGTCTGCTCTTTTTTACTGCTAAACGGTTTGGGCAGTCCTTTTTTTATTGCAGCTGGACACATTCGTTGTTTGCTGTTGTCACGTACGCCTCGCACATTTTCACGTATTTGAAATATTTTCTAAAAATTACCCAATTTTGTGTTGGCTCCCTTAAAAAAGTATGTAAGTATGCTTGCTGGCCGAGCTGAGCACATCAATAAAAAGGCTGGCGAGCACTTTTCTGTAGTTTTGCGTGGTTGAAGAGATACACACACATTTGATCACTTGATTTTGAAACAAATATTTTTTTTTATTTTTTTATTATTATTAATTCTTTTGCAAGACTTTTCGCTTTTCGCTCGTAATTTGTTAGATTTGCTTGTGACATATGCTCGTATCGTACATTGAATTATCGCTTAAAGATATTTACAGAGTTTCATTTCTTATCTTCTTCTTCTTGTAGTTTTTTATTACTTTTGTTGATGTTTTTGTTTTTTGTTACATTCAAGTAAATTTACTTTATGGCATTTGGATTTTTTTAGTATGCAGCTCTCTTATTTTTTGATCATCGTTTGTATACGAATGCATATCTTAGTTTTTATACATCTAAAAATTGATTTTTAAATACACAAATAATTTACACTTACAATTAGCACACAGCTATTATTATTTTTATTTTATTTTTTTGTGTTTTTTTTTTTTGTATCGTTTTTTGTTGTTCAATATTTTGTGTTAATTGTAGTTTATAGCGTTGATATTAAGTATGTGTGAGACTTAAAAACAGTTTACAACAATGCACATTGATTTTCATTTAAGTATATATATGTTTTCATATATAGTTAAATCGATCTATGCTTAAATCTAATAGCCCATCCAATCACATACATCCATTCACACTCACACACTCATACACACTCGCACACTCACTTGCTGTGCTGCTTAATTAGCATTTAAATGTGCAGACATTGATAGTTTATTTATTTATAAATTTATTTGCTTATTGTTAAAATTGGCGCATTCATTTCATGTTCTGCTTTTTTTGTTTTTGTAGACATCTTAATTTACTTAGCATTTCAATGTAAGTATTTACATATTAACGTTATATATATGACAATTGAAATTCAAATGAAAACTCTCGCTCAACGCGCTTGTAAATTGTAACCGCAATAAGAAATCAAAATCGATCTGAATTAATGCATACATGTATATATATATAAATATATATTTATATTTATATGTAGAAATTGGATTAATAATTATAATAGACAAAGCATTTAACATGGCGCTGCTCTCCGACTATTTACATAAAATTGTAATTGTTTTTGAATGAATTTCAACTCTTCATTAAGGCTTAATCACAATCATTTCTCTATTGTTTTGATTTTTTTTGGTTTCTTGGTTTTAGTGGTTTGACTTTTGCTATTGTTTCTAAATTTGGCTAACTAAAATGTTAACATTTATAACAATTTGTCAATTGATAGCGCTTTTCCCTCAATGACAGCAAAATAACATGGAATGTTATTAGTAGATTTTTAGTTTGTTTTTTCCATCCTGTTTAATTCTAAATACTCGTAAATAAAGGTACAATGCTGGACATATGTGTATATACGGACAGAGAACAGATTGAACAGATGGTTTCACTTAATTGTTAAATAGTTGCCGCCGCAATGCTTTGTATATTGATTTCATACACATATCATTTAATTGAGTTTTAGATACATACATACATATACATAAAAATTTGGCAATTTATAAATTTACGATATGTTTGTTTTAGTTTTAAGACCTTTCAACAGTCACCAGCTTTAAAATGCTACGTTTGATTAGATTTCATTCAAGTTTATCCTTTTTACTTTATAAATTTAAATCGAGTGCTCTTTTTTTTATTAATTTTTTTTTTTGCATGCGTGAAAGATTTTTAGATACAAATTCATTGAGTGCATTAATTTAAAATGAATTTGAAAATTAAGAATAGTTGAAAAAATGATTTTTGACTTTTCATTAGATCAACTAACTTGAGTTATAAATTTTGCACCCATTTATATATATATGTATATTAAATTACAATTTCGTTTATGCATTTTGTTAAAAGTTACCATTGAAAGTTAGGTGCTTATCTTTATAATTTGGTTGTATCAGTATTTAGTAACAGAATACTTAAAACTATATTTATTGTATTTTTGAATATTTAATATATATATATATTTATTTTGTTTGTTTAAACTCGTTATTTTCAATGCCCACGTTCGTTTTTGTTGAGCTGTTTCTTTTGTTTTACATTTTCAGTTTAGTTTGCTTTTAATTTGTATTTTTTTGTGTTTTAAGTTTTTGTTTTTTGTTACATGTATTTTTTCCTGCTTCTTTTTTATATCTTATTGTGTGGAAATACTTAAAAGTTAATAACATACAACACACACACATTATTATTATTTTTAACTATATACAATTGGCTTTTATGAATAGTGTTTTCTCTCTTCTATTCACTACGCTTAACAATTTTGTTTTTACCTTCCTTTGCTTTCTTCTTTCCATCTAAAAACAGTTTTGTGGCACTGCACAATGTGAGATGCTTTTTGAATTGTTTTAAAATATATATTTATGCTTTCATATGTGTGTATATATATTTGTTGTTAAATTTAATTAGGTATATGCATATAAATACGTTTTTGTTTTTACAAATTAAATCCAAGAAAGCTTTTTGTTAACGACATAAATAAATTAGCAGTTTCTCTTTATTTTTGTGATTTTTATTTTTATTTTTTTTTTCTTTACTCGTTTTTATTCATGTTGCAAATATTTGAATTTAGTTTTCTGTGAAGCGAAGACGGAAAATTCAGTGGAAATTATGGGCGGGGCTGAATGCATATATTATGGGCGGCTCTAATTTGACTTAATGCAGCTACCGCGCAGACAACTGCTGCATGGACGTGGCAACTGTTGTTGCAACTGCTGCCGCTGACGACGCATCACTCACAGAGCGTCGCAGCAACTGACAAATGAATTGTGTGAGATTATCTATTAGTTTATCATTTTGTTTATCTTTGCAAATATCGTTATTATTATTACCAACCGATCGAATCACTCGCGCCCCGCCCATGCTGCTGCTGCTGCTGCTGCCGGCGGAGAAGGTGGCGCCACCAGCCAATGTGGCAGCCGTGGCCAGCGCCAGCAGCAACAGTACACTGGGCGCCCGGGCCATTAAAAGTGAGTCCGTTTTGCTGGCTGCATTTGGTTGAATAAAAAACGATAAGATTTTTGTGACAAATAATTCCCGGTATGACATACCTTGCACCGGATCGGCGCGTGAATTGCTCGCAAAGGCGCCTTCACTTTCGCGTGACTCCAAAACCGGCGCCTTTTGCGGCCGATCACCCTCGACGGACTCCTCGTTGCTGCGCCAGTAGAAGGACGACAATGCAGCCACACACTGCAAAAAAAAATGGAGAGCAAACTGTTAATCAGCGCAGAGCACAATAAACTTCACTTAACTCACCTTCAACTTCATGTCGCCGTTGCGAAAATGCTGCTGTTCGACGCGAAATTGCAGGCCCAACACGGAGGTCTCCAATCCTTCGCGACCCGAAACAATTGTCTCGAATTTGCGCAGCTTTTGCGGATCGGCGGGCTCACCGTTGACGAACCAGGACAGATTGACAGCCGGCTTGGAGCGGCCAGCGGTGCAATTGATGCGCACCCAATCGCCAATCTGATAGCGCGGACGTCCTCCACTTATTTTCGGTGGTCCCTGGTCCGGCAGAGCTGCATGGCAGGAGTGTGTGGAGTAGAGAGAGAACAGGGAGAATGTGTGACATCGAGTCGGTTAGTTGCGTGTTGCTCGTCCCAAAACTAACAAAGTCAAGCTGTGCTGAATTTAATTTACGGCTAGTTGCAGGCCCAGAGACAGGATAGGACAGGACAGAACAGGACAGAACCCGACACCGACCCTAACACCCACACACAGCTGGAAGCGCCGAAATACCATAATAAACCAAAAACCCAACACCAATAATAACAGCAGCAAAAACAACAAGTACACTCTGAAAAAATATGGCCCAGAACTTTGAATATTCGGCATTTCTAATAAATCTGGCGATTAATTTTCTTACTTTTGGAGTACATTGTTCTCAAATTTAGAAAAAATAATGTCTATGCAACTCTGAAACTAGCTATATTTTAATAAACTGAAGTATTTTAAAACTTAACATGTACAACAATTTTAGATAGCTTATAAAAATGAATATAATTTAATTTTAATCCGGACAATGTTTATGGAATTGCTAAGTTAAGGCAAGCCTTTCTAATTTGAAGACAAATGTTTTCTTATATTTCTTAATATTATTTATAAAAACAAGAAAAACTTTCAAGTATTTAGGGCGCTTCTTTTGGCGAGTGTACAGCTTCCGGCATAACAAAGTCGCCGGCGCCCAGCCGGAAATTCAATAAAAGTTCCAGCCGCTGATGCACTGACAGCCTGCTGATAAAATTGCACAGCAAAAAAAAAAAAAAAAACGACAAAAAATAAAAGCGCAATAAAAATAAAATTGAAATGAGGAGGAAATCGGCACTTGACGCAACGAGAATGTTAATACCCTAAAAGAACGTCAGCCAACTTTGTTGACAGCTTGACGCCTTTGTCTTTAATCGATTTACACTCGATGAGGGGGAGTAGCCTCAGCTCGACTCTTTCAGTGTATGCACTTAACCGATCGACAGCCAAGAATACCACACAACTCTTGTACAAAACTCATAAAGCTAGGGAACTGAGCATAATGATACTTCCTGTCATTCTGTGTGAGCTTCATGGCAAAGTTCTAATACCCGCTTCAAGACTATAAATCAGTGCTGAGGCAAAACTATGCGAAACGGAAACGGAAATGGCTTTTTGCCTCAGGCAACTAACTGAGCAGCTGTGGGCAGCTGAGCACTTTGGTCCATGTTCCATTGTCCATGGTCCATGGTCTCTGGACCCGGTTGGACCCATTGCACACGGAGCTGTGGCATATGCGAACCGCTGTGTGTTGTTGAAGCTTTTTAGAACTTTGATTGAAAGCCAAACAGGCAGCGCACAATATGAGCAACAAAAAGCCAAAACAAAGCACAACAAAAGCGCGTCAGGACAAAGACAAAGCACACAGCCTGCCATGGCAAACAGGCGGACAGGCGGACAGATGGACAGGCGGACAGGCGGACAGATGGACAGGCGGACAGGCGGACAGGTCTAGGCGAATGAGACGACAATAGCTGGTGTCGAACAAGGATGACACACTCAGAAAAAAATATGTCCTGAAATTTTGTAAGAAAAAGATTTTCTTGATTATTATTAAATATAAGAAAACATTATTCTAATAAGAATTACAGCTCCAAAAAGAGGAATGGACACTTTGAATCTTGGTAAATATCCTGTCTAAAATTCAGAAACAAATAATGCTTTTATATAAGAGTTTAATTACTGTCTGCATTGAGGCCGAGTAGTTAATTTTATTGAAACTAAATTACATCAATTTTATATGCTATCTGAAATGTGCGCATTTATAAAATATTAAAATAGTAATGATTATTAATTTCATATATTATAAGCAACAGAGTAGCAAATGTTAAACTTGCATTTGATCCATGGAACTTTAACATATTTTGTCCAAGTTTTCGTCGAATGTACCCAGAAATTAAGAAAAGTAAAACCAAGAATTATAGACAAAATAACAAGGGTTACCATTGACGTCAGAATTATGGCGACTTATGGCGATTTTTGCTGAGTGTATGCCGTGTAAGGGCAGGCAAAACTGGCAGGCAGCAAGGCAAAGCTGGCAAGCAGACCCACGCAGAAGTTTATAATTGAACAAACGAAATGTCAACGCCAGCTCAAAGCGTTCCGGTTGCTTGGCCCACGTGTGACTCAAGCGTGCAGTAGAATCTGAATCAGAATCCCAAATCCCGAATCCCGACCCTGTGCTTGTGCCGGATACTAGTCCTGCAAGCACTTCTTGTGTAGTTCCTGTCAGCCCAGTCAAGCCAAAGCCAAAGCCAAGCCATGCCAAGCCAAGCCAGCACTTAAAGTAACTTGAAAATCTTGTTTTGTTTGCATTTAGAGTTGGTCGCGGCTTGCTTCGCAAATTGCTGTTGTTGTTTTTGTTGTTGATGTTGATGTTGAAGTTGTCTTTTTGGCCTCCAGGAAATTGCTGAACAAGACAGAAGACAGTTGCCAAATTGAGTTAGATGCTAAGCTTTGGCAGGTTATGGCAAGGCAGACGCTTCGGGGTCTAAATCAGAGTTTTAGTTGAGTCCCACTAAGCTTATTATGAGACGTGAAATCAAATGAAGCCTGTCAAATGCAGTTGAGCACTTGAACAGTCAAATAAGCGATTCAATTTGTCCTCATAAGGACAACGGTTACGAAATCTAAATTAATTTTGCCCAAGGCAGGTTGATAGTTCAAAGCTAATGTCACTACTCTAATTTCAGTTTAAACTTGAACAGAATAAAATTAATAACAAGTAAATAACTAGAAATTGCAATGCCTCGTTTGGAATTACGCCAAGTTGGCAAGTTTCTAATTAGAATTGTAAGTTCTCGCTTGACTTTTGGCACAGAGAGAATAGGATTATAAGAGTTCTTATTATTCTTCTGTTTTTGGTTTATACTTACACACAACAACCATGTCGCCATGCTCGGTGACCGTTTGAAAGGATGGCGCCTCCCCGGATACCTCGCACCGGAAACGGCCCGAGGACTGCAGATTGACGTTGTGCAGGTTAACAATCGCATCGCTCGAGTTGTGCAACTGCAATTAAAAATTGTTGTGAATGAGTACAGCACAATAAATAATATGAGAAGCAAGAACAGCAACAAATTAAAAGCACAATGTAAACGAAAAGTGGCAAAAGTTGTAAGGCCAAAGGATGTCGATCTCGATGTCGATGTCCGTCTCCGCGTCGCACTTCTCAATAGTTGTCGATAGACAGGGGGACAGGGCGACTTGCACAGAAATGGAGAGACAGGCGAGAGCAGCCACTTTGCACGTTAATGCAACGTAATTGTTTTTGAGAACAGCCACAAAATGCTTTTTCGATGTTTCACCGCCTCTTAAGGTTCTTAGTCGTCTGCTGGGGCCACTTTAAGGCTCAGCACACTCAAAGATATGCAGCCCTGACAGCTGAAAAAGTTTTTCTTAATTTCAGAAATAATTACACCTATATGTAAAAAAATAAGAAAAGGAAAACCCTAATCTGTAAAAATATATTTTGTGAATAATTAGTTGAGTTACCTTTGGCGAATTTCTAAATTCAAATTCAAATTTAAATTTTTTTCTGAGTGCAGCATTGAGGCATCGCGTCCGCATTCGCAGCCAAGCTGGCTAACGTAAACGTTAGGCAAATATTTCACTTGAACTTTAAGCCATTAAGCTGGGTGCTGGGTGCTGGCTGCTGGTTGTGAGAAAGGGGTTTTGTTTATCTGGCCAACGGAAAGTGCACTTTGTTATCTTTTATTGCGCATTTTTTATACATTTGTGTTGTGCTGTGTTGTGCTGTGTTGTGTGCTCATTGTGTTGCTGCCCCAACTGCTGTTGTTGCTGTTGCTATGCTTTGTTGTTTTAACCTAATTTATAGTTTAAACACACTCACACACACACGCACCCACACCCACAGACACGCACGCATGAAGCTCAGGTAAAAGTCTCACGTTTGATTCAGCCAAGAGTTTCGCAACTGCAATAAAACAAAACGAAATCCAAACAAAAGCCAACCCAAGCCAATAGCCAAAAAGTTGTGTTAGCCCGGCCAACACGTCAGTCACTTGAATCGATTATGCTAAAACAATATCCGCCAACGGAGCTGGATATAACCATTAGCTGGCAGTATCTCTTTCTCACTGCTGCAACTTGCAGCTTGCAACATGTTTCGGGTCTTATCGGCGGCCGAACATCAAAGTTGGGAAGACCGTCGACCGCAATGAGCAACTAATCACACACATGTGTTGTGCTGAGTGTGTGTGCTGGTGTGTGTGTGATTGAGTGTGTATAATGCGCATTATAGACACGTTTAACCACGCCCCATCACAGGTGGCAGCGAAAAGCGCAACTTTAAAAATTTATTGCACTCCGGCAGAGGAAGCCACTGAACAGGATGCGGAGGAGTAGCAGTAGCAGTTGTAGTTGCAAGTAGCAGTAGCAGTAACTGTACCAGGACTTGCATGCCAAGCAGTTGCATTTATTTATTTCCTTTTTTCTTTGGGCAGACGATTAGTGATTCGTTCCACTGTACATATACATGTAGATATACAGCAGCGGTCAAAATTATAGTAGAGCTGTTGCATAAAATGAAAATTCTAAATATTGTCATAGGCCTATTCATTTTATTTATCCCCTGTTTACTCTGTTTAGCTTAATGTCGCAATTTTAAACTATATTTTAAACATATAAATTTAAATATATGTTTTTCCAAAACGAATATATACACTACTACTATTTAGACCGCACCTGTATGAGGAAATATGTAGAGGGCAGCTATGGGTATGGATGGTCTTTTGACTCTTTGGATGTTTGCTGGCTCACGTGCTTATCTTGAACTCAGCGAGGCGCTTACGAGCACTGGAAGTGCCACTGCCTCTGGCAAACTCCAAAACGGTTGCACTTTGAACGCGTTCCGTTTTTGGTAACTTTTCCACAGGCGGGGGCAGGTAAGCGTGGGGTGGGGGGCAGAGGGGCGTGTTACTTCTAACGTGCAGTGCATTTTATGTTCAAAAGTTTTAGTGGCAAAAATAATGGAGCAATGGCATTTTAGTGCGCTACTTTTGCCGTTGCAGTTCTTGTCCTGCTGTCAGTCCATTCAATCCATTCAGTTTTGTCTACGATCATCGTTCGATTTGGATTTACGTCGTGGGAATTGCAAACGTGCTTTTCTTAACTGCCAGAACAGAAGGGCTCTTCATTCTAAACAAACAACAGCCAGTGTGTGGTCAAGTGCGAGTGTTTTAAAGAAAAGCGCACAAGGAAGTTTTTGAAGTGACTCGATACTTCCTGAGCTACGCCAATTTTGCAAGATTTTCACGCAAAACTGTTCAAAATGCTGTTTGTAAATTAAATGCACTCAGACGGCAGCTAACAGTCAAGGTGCACACTGTTTATGCGCAGAAAAAAATAAATGGGTTAGAAATAAATCAATTTAAAAATATTTAAATAATTTTACGGTCTTACGGTCTTACGATTCAAGAGCTAATTGAAAGCTGAGACAATAATTTCATTATTTCTTTCTGAAAGGATGTTTTCTCTGAATCAGATTTGAAATTTATACTTTTGTTAGAAAAAAGTTTTCTAATATTTAGAAATGATATCTAAAAATAACAAAAACTATTTAGTTGTCAGGGTTATTTAAAAAAAAAAATTCTGACTGTATGCTCGACTTTCGTCCTAGTGCTAAACAGCTCTACTGCTGCACTTCGTTGTAAGCACACGGAGAGGACTCTCGACTAGACCCAAAAGACACACAAGCCACCGAACAGCAGACCGCGTCGAAGGCTGATAGTTTCAAGGGAGTAGATAGTGGTGGGGTTGGGGGTGGTGTATTTGCTATTGTCTCGCAGTGCTGTAAAGTATGCAATGTTGTTTTAATGTCTGCTTTCAGTGCGGCACAAAACAATGGCGAGTCTGCCACCCTCCCCATCACTATCTCCCCATCTCAGTCTCTGTTTTATGTTTTTTAAATATTTTTTTGGGGGCATACTCACATCAACGGCAACACCTGGCAGGCGAAAGGTTTGCGCCGGCGGATTATCCCTGGGCACATAGCGATAGAACTCATTGCCATCCTTGTACCATTTGACCGAGTAGAGCGCCTCCCCATCCAGATCGTAGAGGCATTCCAGTTGCGCAGTGGCACCCTTAATCACATAATTTGGTATGCGCACCTCGACCAGCCGCAGTCCCTCACTGAAGTCTGTAATGTGAAAAAAACATGTGCGCATTACTAAAATGGGTTATATCCGTTTCTTTTTCCTTTTTGCAGTGCGTCTGCTTTAATTTTCAATGCGGCTGCGCTCATGATTGATTTATGTTTAAACAAATTGCCGGGCACTGTGTTGTTATTCTCTTTGCTGCCGTTGCTGCTGTTATTTTAACGTTAATTAATTATAAAAGTTTGTTTGTTGTTTGGCCAGCATAAATGTCAACCCGTTAGCCAAATGACTGATGGCCTGGCCCTTTTTCAAAAGCAAACTACACGCAAACCAAACCAAACCAAACCAAACCAGACCAGCCCAGTCCAGCCCAGTCAAAGCCAGCCCAGCTTTAGCCCTCTTTAATTTCATTTATTAATGGTCCACAATTTATGTGTTTTTAATTTAATTTATAATAACATTTTATCATCGAGTCAGGAACATTTTATTTTATGTATTTTGCCAGTCGTAACTTTTTTTAATTTATAAAAGTGCAGCTGCACAAACTACAAGCACATAATACTTATATAAGTATGATATATAATGTGCTACACTCAGAAAAACAATCGGACTGTAATTGAGGAAATCGCCTTGATAACTACATGTCCACACTGAAATGAAGAGAAACAAACCCTTCTTTTTAGCCACAATGTACATTTTTATAAATTTACTTGCTGAAATATAAGCTGAGTTAACCTAGGCGCCAATCAGATGATTTTTTTTTTTTTTGCTGAGTGTATATAATATATAAGTGTATAGTACACTCGATTAATAAGTCAACCTGATGACATGAATGGATGTCATGTGGGTTGGGTGTGGTTGGGTTTGTTACTTGCTGGCCTTCAGCCTTGATTGAGTGCCTTGATTTATGTGCCCTGTTTGGCTGAGGCATTTAGCTTGTTGTAGACTAGTAGTGGATGTGTGCACCACTTGAATGCCCCACTCAACTCAACTGTCTACACACTCAAGTGAACTTCACTCCAGCTCGATGCTCGAAGCTCGCCTAATGTTACGTTTTATAGCAAACTTGTTTATTGTCAATATTGACAATGATACTCACACACACACATACACACACACACACACACAGACAGAGACAGACACACAGTTAGAGATAAACTGGCACCTACTTGGTACATTTAGGTCTTTGTGCGTGTCCTATATTATTAAAGCCCCTGAGGCACATACCAGAAATAACAACAACAACAACAGCAGCTGACTGCTCACATTGCTGTGTCTAAGGATGCTGAAGGACCTCCTTCGAGTGCTGCTGTTGCTCCTGCTGCTGCCACTACTCGTGGCAGCAACCAATCGTTGCACATTACAAGTGTAATAAAATGTGAAAGGATATTATTGTATGAGCATCGCACACACATCTGCCAAGCAGGCAGAGGAGGGCTCTTCAACTTGATTCGGTAAAGGAGCCCAACTTAGAAAGGGTATCTGCCAACAAAACAAAAAAAAAAAACAGAGAGAAATTCGTTGCATTTTTTTACTTTATGTAAGTGTAGATATGTTTGTGTGTATGGAGTGCAATGTCATGTCCTTTGGGGAGTCAACGACGACGACGACAGCTTAAGAGCCCAGCAAATGTCAAGCATCATAAATATATAAATACATAAAACTCGGCACAGCGCAACACAAAATGTAATTACAATTGTAGAAAATTTTCTAAATTTAATTTACGAAATAGCTAAGAGAATACACACAAGAGCTTGGCCTGGCAGCAAATATTAATTTAAATTCTTAAGTTGAATAAATTAAATTAATTTATCCCAATCAAGTTGAGATGAAGATAAATTTCCTGCAAGCATAAACTCAGTTTTCAACACTACTGGTAAAATATTCTATCTTCATTTGACTTCATTAAAATTGCCTGTATAACAACTTTACCTTGCACTCATTTTCATAGTTGTTGTCTTAATATTTTTATCAAATTATTTTTGTTGCTAAACAATAACTTGCCACAAGTTAATAATTTGCCAGAACTTCTGGTTCTAAAATATGCACATCGATAACTGAGAAGTGAAAATGCATCGAAGGCGTTGATCTGCCAATTGGTTATAACGTGAATTGAAAATCTCACTGGCAAAACTTTAATAAAAGTGCTGCAGCACAAAAACAACATCAACAAAGAGCAACACCAAGGTGCTGCAAGATGTTGCAACAACTTGAATTCAAGATGCATCAAGTGCATCAAGTGAAAGACATTCATGACTCCAAAGTGGCAACTTTAAGCAAAGCATTCACAGCCAGCTGCTGAAAGGATATGCACACACACATACACACACAGCACACACACACACACAGCATACACACACACATACACACACTCACATATATACATACATGCACTTTGTATTTTGGAAATAAAAAACTTTAAGCTGGCGGCTTTTTAATATAATTTTTAATGAATATACGAAGGTATTTTATTGGAGATCTCAGTAAAGCGAAAATGTATTTGGAAAGCAAAAAAAAACAATTCTAAATTAAAGAATTTTGTTTATTATTTGTTTGTTGTATTTGATTAAAATATATAAGTTGGATATGTGTAAATGATTGCGAGTTGGGTCAGTAAAAGAGTTCAAACAACAACTTGCGTGACAAATTGAAAAACGAAAACCTATGGCAAGGGTCCGCAAAAGTTTGGCTAACATCAAGTGCAGTACACACATACTGCAAATATGTATATGGTACTATATACAAAAATACATATGAATGCATAAAGATATGGAAAGTTTTGCGAATGTTTTCTCTTTAACTGGATTTGGGTTGCATGGCTCGACGAGCGCTGAACAACTAAAATGCTTGCAATGTCAGTTTTTGACTTTTAGCGCAGAGGAAAGCAATGAAAACAATGAAAATGTATAAAAGAAACAAAAAAAGAAAAGAAAAAAACGATTCTCCACTCATTAATTCTGTTTAGGAGTCAGTAGTAGTAGTAACACCATCGAGCTGTGCCAGCAACTGGAGCAGAAGTTTCAGTCGCCGTTGGAGTTTGGGGAAACTAAAGTTTTTTGCCTGGTAATTTAAGTAACTTTGTCATTCGAACACCACACCACACACACAACACAAAACACACACCCGCACTTATCACACACAGCAATGTCAACACACAAAGAGCAACACAATGCGAAAACTTGGAAGTGTGGGCGCTGAAAGTGGGAGTGGCGGAATTAATATGCTCATGATGTGACCTCGTCCAAGTGAAAAATCAATTTTGCCACCGCCTGCGAAAAATTCTTGGCTTATTCTTTTAGTGGCAGCAACAGCAGCAACATCCTCATCCAGTGACAACTTTTGCCGGTTCGGAAAAGTTTTTTTTTGCCATTCTTATACTTCATTGGGGTTAAGTGATTAAATTTGCACAGCAGAGGCGAAAACAACAAAAGGAAAGGCACAAAAAAACTTGTGGCACATGTGACACTCGCTTGCCTCGTGTGCCGCATAATTGTTGCCGAGTCAAAACTAAAACTTTGTTGCATGCAAGCATTTTGGGCCAACAAATTTGATTATGTTGATTATGATGACGAAGTTTCGGGGGGGAATTGACTTGGCCGACAAATCATTTGTCGGCAACTTTGAAAAGCAATTTACCCTTTTCGACAGCTCCAAAGAATTCCCAAAACTGTCGCATCAAACTGTTGCTGCATACACTCCGAAACCAAAATTCCACAGATCAAAAAAGAGATACAAAATTGATGATCAGCAAATAAATTTCTTAAATTTAAGTTTTTGGCTTTCTTTTTTGGTTTGCATTTTATGGTGCATTAAACTTATAAAACTTATTTTTGAAAAATGTTCAATTTTCTCAATTTGATAGCGACATTTTTTTTCAAGTGTAAGAACTCACATACCCAGGAGTAAATGTGTCCTGTGGCTGCTTGCTCATGCTATCAGTTGATAAGCATGCAAAGGAGCCCATTGAAGCGGTCAATGGCAATGGGAATGGCAACAGGATCAGAAACAGGACTAGGCCCAATATTCCTAATGTCGGTCACTTTTGGCTCCTTGGCAGCCTCCACTATTTTTTATGTTGTGCGTGCGTGTGAGTGTGTGTGTGTGTTTTTTGTTGTTGTTGTTGTTGTTGTCGTGTGGCTGTTGTCCTCGGGGCAGTTTCAGCTTAATATCCGTTGCCATTGTTGCTGCTGCTGCTGCTGATGTTGATGCTGGTTTATTAGTAGTTCGTGCCAGGATGGGAGCCAGAATGCCAGGATGCACGCACCCCGGGATGCCTTACTGCCCGGGTTGCCTGCTCTGTCTGTCTGTCTGTCTGCAGGGACTCTGCGTCCAGAGAGGCAGAGAGAGAGAGAGAGAGAAGCGATAGCTGCCACATAAAGGCAGAAGCTGTTTGCTTATGTAAATATCTGCATATGAGCCCCGCACCTCAGCGCACATCCTGCCAAACAATGCCTTTCATGTTGTGCGTGTGTTTGCGTGAGTGTGTGTGCTTGTGTGTGTGGCTGTGGCTATGGCTATCGCCCAAGGTAGCAATATTTGTTTTCTTGCTTTCATCATTTGCATATAATGGAGCTGTAAAAGTTCATAAGATGTCCCAGAGATCCACGCTGTTGCCACGTTGTTGCCACGCCGTTGCAGCAACACAATTGTGGCAAACAGAATTTAATAAGCCAAACTATGCAGTGAACTAAATTGAAAATTCACTTTACAAATGCCAAACTAAAAGCGTCGCGCAAATCACTGGCCACAATTATAAATTAACAACTTCTATTTGCCAGGATAAAAATAATATTTCACTTTTACAAACTCGACACGAGTTTTTTGCCAATAATAAGAATTTATGCCGGACTCGGATTGGGATTGGGATTGGTATTCTCTGGTCGCGTCGCGACTTTAATGTGCGCTGCCGCAGGGCGTGGCAAGCGCAACAATTACTTCAGTACTCCCCAGGGCAGCATAAAAAAAAAACAAAAAGAAAGCAAGCGGAAAAACAATGCGAAAAAAACGGGCATAGAAAATGAAAAGAAAACAGAAAACATCC